TCCCATTTGCCAGTTGTTGGAGTGATGCAATGGTGATGAACTGTTACAGATCTCCATTGCTACTGGCTGGAGAGTTGTCATGGTGATGAACTGTCATAGGTCTCCATTTGCCACTGGGCAGAAAGGCATTATGGAGATGAACTGCCACAGGTCTATAGTTGATACACTAGACAGAAAAAAATGCTGCAGCGATGAACCACCATGATTCTCTATTTGCTGGAGGTCCTCAGTCATTTTCTTCAAACTAGTAGGCAGAGAGTTGCCACTGTAGTGATGAACATTCCAAACAATGCATTTGCCACAGGTTAGAGGGGTCACAATGATGAAATCTCACGTTTCTGGATGAAAAGATGTCACTGCCCATTAACTGTCCCGGCACTTTCCAAACCTCATATATGAAGAATTAGATATCAGAAACACAAGATCACTGTCTACCATGCATCCCGATGGTATCTGCAGTTGACTTATGATCTCTCAAACAACCGTACCACAACACCTGAGTAATTTTTTCACTTGCAAGTCTCCAAGGAGATTGTCTCCTGGAAAATATTCTGTTACAAAGGTCTTTAATAGTGGACTTGCCTAACAATTACATGATGGCATGATAGCTAGACCTCAAAAGCTATGGTTTCTTTTTCTTTTAGCATGCTGCAGGAGTAAGAACAAATTAACAGGGAAACAAAGCAGAAAAAATGAAAACAACCCCCCCCCAAAAAAAAAATTAAAACACCAATATTTACAGCAAGGGTTAAGGTAGTGTTACAAGATGTTGGAGTCAGTGGGGTCCCTTTTTCCAAAGTAACTTTTGAGAATATTCTGCCAGAAAAAAATTGGTTTCAAGTCCTCACTGGGGAAATCCATTTTGCACATTCACAGGACGGTCATTCTATAAATCTGAGGGCTAATTTTGTGAGTGTGTCCCTGCCATATCTAACATGTTGAAATTTTAGAGCACATCCTATTTTTTTGAAGACTCATTAAATTAAATTAAGTTATGTGAATCACCTGCCAAGCAACTAACAAACAATATGAAGAAAATCCAATGATACTTGTCAGAATACAAAGGTCAGGTGTAACAGGGACACATAAATGTCACACTTTTAGACCCTGAATTTGCAGAATGACCCAAGAAAAAATACTAATTAACAACAAAAGGGGGAATTTTCTGCATGATTTGCTACCGTGCCATTTGAAAAGCTCTTTGACCCCTGAAATAAAAGTTTTGAATCCTCCAATCTCAATACAGTTTAGTTCGCAAAAAAGCGGGTTCTTTGAAAGAAATGACAGTTCATGTAAACCTGCTACAAGTAGTGAATAGAACTTTTTTAGATAATAACCAGTTTGATGCAAACAATGCAGAGAATGCAATGAACAACCATAATAACCCTAACAGTCCCAAATCCTCCAATTTCAATATAATGTTACATACAACCTGGGGTTAGGGTGAAATCAATATTTTGTCTGCACTCAGGGGTGTTTGCCTGAGAACATTTTTACCATAGAATGCCATCACTGTTCTAACTACAGTTGAAATTCTGTGGGCATTTTTCTGATGTGGACATGTTTCAAAAAGACAAAAAAGACTCTAGGTCAAAAGCAAAGAGAGTAGGAGTGATAGGAAATGATGCACCGAGTTATTAATCCAAAAATGGCATTCAATTCAACAAAAACAATCGTTTGGTATAAGAAATGTTTTACTTTTTAAATTCCCATTAGGAAAATGTATGACACTACTTGCTCCCTGCAGAGACTCATTAGCCACCGGAAAGCAATAAAATGTCCTAAAAAAGTCAAATTTAGCAGTGAAAATATTGAGGTTTCACTCAGAAAACATAAAATTTGACAAACTAGACCCACAGGGTTTGTGCACAGGATTTCAAGCCGCATCCGTGTATAGAATTCTTCCAAAATGAATAACTTTCCCATTTTCAACAAAGTTGGACTCACTTTTTCTCAATTTTGGTTTCATGTCAGGCAAATACTGTACACATTCCTGGTAAATTTTTAAGGGTCTGTTAGAAAGGTTGTACATCCAGTTTTCCTTGAGGTATCACATTTTTTCCCCAAATGTATTTACATTTTCTATCCCATTTATAAAGGAAACTGTAACAATTTACTAGCATTCCAGTTCTTTTTGAAAGTGATGGCATTCTACTTTTTTGTAAATATTTTGATAAGTTTTGTCTACAACTACTTTTGGTGCCCCCAATAAATGTCCAAATCATTATTTGCACATAAAAAAGTCTCACAATTTTTCCTCGATTCCAGTTAAAAACAAAACCAAATAAAAACGTAAAAGTAATTAGATTTGGCTATATGAAAACAGAAGGTCAGCTGAAATGTCTGGCAATGAATGTGAAAAAGCTGATAATTACTTTATCGTTAGAATACTGATGCAATCTGGTTTTCTACAGTTTCAAAGGGAAGTCAACAAAATTTTCTAAAACTTGCCAAAGCAAAATTTGCATGTTTAATCAATACCTGTAATTCAAAATTTTGTTCAACACATCTGAACCGTCTAAAGGGCCTACTAAGTTTATGAATTGCATTACGGTAAAATGAAAACATGGCAAAAAGCACAGACTATTTCTTGTAGTTTGTTAAATGCTGCAGCATCAAATCAGGGTAATATACCACAATTCCAATTTGAATGAAACTGTGAGAGAAATACAGCACAAACTGATGCAAAATTAACACGAGAGGAATATGCATCTTCTGTATTCTTCAGAATCATGAATTAGTGATGAAACAATCATGCATGTTCCAAGTAACATGATGCAAGATAAAATCTTATCATAAGCACCATCGGGGGTATTGAGTTTTGTCAAGCAAATGCAAAGTGACAGGGTATGCTAGTAAATTTTATAGGGATGCAGAGAAAAATGTTTCTGTTACATGTAGTTAAATTATTTTGTGATTTATAGATGACGTAATTTAAGCATTTATCAGCTTAGTTTTAACAAGATTGCCTTGTCTGTCCATGTCTATTGGCTTTCACATGTTGCACATGCAATTTAATTTTTCATGTTTTCCTCTGAAATCAGAGACAACCCTCCTAAATCACAAAATTCGCAAGTTCACAAGTACTATAGTTTGGCCCAACTGGATCCTTAACAATGACAAACTATCAAAGACAGTTTATCTACCTTTTCGCAGGTCGTAGAGAATAATTGTGGAATGTAAAAATTAAAATTGCATTTATATACAAATGTAAATATTGCATGGATCCAAAAAATTAAGATCAGCATGTTTGGTGCACATCCGTCTGATGGATAGGTATTTTGGAAAAATCCAAACGTCAGGAAAAAATAAAGAGCTTTTGAACATTAATGTCTCAAGTCCCCTTTCAATCTCTTCTGGCTCATGAACATCAATTTCTTGGGGTCTGACTTCATTTTTGACGATCGCACAGCAGTCAAAATTTGGCCCTTCCTCCTGTAACATAATACACACTTATCACAAAATCCATGCCTTTTATGCACATTACCACAAAAGTTTTTCGTATGTCCAGTCTGCACCGTAGACAATCATTTTGTTCGTACAAAAAAGGCTTGTAACTTACCTTTGGAACTTACCTCGTGTGACAGAACTTACGGAAAGGGCAATGTATTTTGTCGACTGTTGTTTCCACATGCATGTAAAATTCGATATTTCTGGGGGAGAACAGTCAGCAACTTTGTCTTGACACCACCAAGTTCCAATTGTTACATTTACACCAGAAAAGTAACAAGCTACAACGAATTTCGTGAAGCGTGCAGGCCGTGTGATTCTACATTTTCTAGCAGGAACGCAAGCGATGCTCTTGAAAATGGAGTCACATAGGTAGTACACTGTACAACCGCACTATGCTACCTAGCAGTTTCTGCATGTACATTCCAACCTACAATTACTCTTTTGTGCTATTTAATGATATGCAAGACGGTCACATCTAAGAATGCTCAGTTACAAAAAGGATTGCCCGCCACATCTGAGACGAACCAATCAGCTACCTTCAGCGTCCGTGACCATTCGAATATGCATTTTTATTTGATTTTGTCAAAAAATCTGATTACATGCATTATTTTTGTAGGACAATACCACTGGAACAGGGTAGGAAAAGGATCCATCAGACAACTGACGACAAATGTAATCAAAGGCACCATTTAACTTGCTAGGATATTAAAACAAATCACACAAAAAACAAAATGCATTCTAAATTTTTCAATCTTTTTGATGATAGGCAGATCCCCATATTAAAGGAGCAAAAGTGGTCCATATCTGCCTGCGAAGGACCAAATTGATTTACTTTATTCTATTTATTTTTACTTCCCCTGCCTTCAAAACCATATAAAAAGCTCTATCACAGTCTTACCCTAAGAATGAACCACAAAAACTTACAAAAAAACTCCAATTTTGCACCCCCCCATCTAAAATTCTGGTTTTAGGCCTGTACTTGAATGATGACAACAGAAAAGTTATCAGAGCAAGCCAAACTGAATGAACACAGGATAAATGACAGAAGGTTTCCCTTTGCAGTCGTTTCACTTTAATTATTTACTGCCAAAATGGGGTACAGATTCAGTACTAAATAAAATAATATTCCAAATGATGCTATTTGAAATCAACTTACAATTTACAAATCCAAACTAAAAGGGTCACTATATAAACAGCAGGTGTTGAAGTAGTAATAAATACACGTAACAACATACATGTACACATGATTATCAGACATGTCAAGAATACAAGATACAGAAAACAAATTACCTGGTCATTTGCAAGCCTTTGCAAAAGAAGAAAACAATACAAAACATAAGTGCATGAAGAGCACTTATAGAGAACAGTTCAGGAAGAGCACAATATGGACAGTTTTAATTAGCACTGCTCCATCAGGTAAATCACATCATAACAAGGGAGTCCAAAGTACATAAACCTGGCTTAAAATGACTACATTAGTTAAAGTTATAAACAGTACATAGGATAATAAAGTGGTGATCCATTATCATCCAGAATATAAAACGAATGTATGAACAACATGCCAACAAAAATTTGGGAAATAAGAACACACCATACAGAGGGCTAAGCACAGTTTTTCCAGTGCTTACTATCCAACACAGACTCTTTGCTCAGTGTAACAAAACTCTACAAAATTAATCCATTACACAGGTTGAGTACATGTACAATCCAGAAGCAATCTCCACATTCAGTTTTGCACCACCAGCTTCACTCCTGACAGCATTTAGTGAACTCGCAAACACATATGCAATTAATCATTTAAATATGACTCATACTGATATTCATTTCTCAAGTATAAAACCACAGACCCTTTCTCTGCATAGCTCGCCTACCACAATGATGGAATGAAGCAATACACAAGGAAAACCACACTTTTTCAGAAATCAATCCAAAAAGTAAGCTAAGAAAAGCCTACGTATCAATATCAGATGCACCCTCAACAGTTGCCAATTACAAAATGTCGTTGCGCATGGCAGCTTTTGACATCTCTACCAAAACAATTGTCAAGGTTTTCTTTCAGACTGATTATTCAACCCAATTTTCAGTCAAGTCCAAGGAATAAAGGTTCAAATCAAATGAGCAGTCCCAAATTTGTTACATTGTTACTGCTGCCTGGTCCCTTCAGTATCTTCCAGTGTAATTGTCAGTGTTATTCTGTGAGCTACTGCACTGGGTAATGGACTTGGCTCAAAAAAATGTTGTCATATGTACAAGGGTAATTCACATGTATGCTTTATGTGAGTAAGGCAAGAGGTAAATGTAAATCAAGAGATGCAATGTAAACACCTGTAGAGAGAGACATTTCCACCTGTACAATGTATATGTATTATGTAATATGAGTATAATAATTGCACACGCAAACCCTCTCGCTCAGCTGATGACCGAGCAGATTTGTAGAACCAGAATGTTTAAGTATTTGGAATACAAAACTTTCACTGAACGAAAAAAAGAAAATAAAAAGGCTTCATTTGTAGCTACATGTTTTCGGTCTCTACAACTGTTCTTTAACCTCATGTTCGTTAACCTCATGAAACTTACTGAAAAATCTACAGTATAAGTTGGGGTGTCATGAGTAGCCACTGCTAGATAATTCTAACGGCATTTGATTCCACAACAGGAACAAATCCCATAACCCTGGGAAGGGTTACAACAATGAAACTTTAACACGGTACTGATTGTATGACAAGCAAAAGTAACATTTAATACAGTTTATGTTACAGTTTTCCGACTTGTGACATGTGATAAATATATGTGACCCGCTCTGCAAAAAAGGGTAATAAGTCGTGCAATGCCAAATCATGTTATGGCCTCTTCTATTTGGAGAGGGCAAAATTTCTTCAAAACGTGATTTTGTGTTTTTTTCTTTAATAGCTTTTATAACATTTATATTTTCAGAATTTGTGACTACAAACATGGATACTGATGAATAAAGGTGAAAAATTGATCGTTCAGTAGGAAATCCTACATAGCATTGTGTTTCTGAGTGCTACACTTTCTGAACTTTCTCAAAAAGTGCTTTATTGAATCCGAAAATGTGGATATACAAATGTCCAAATCTCCAGAATGCAGTGCACTACAGGGATCATTCATGTATTAAAGTGTAGATTTTGATGTACAGAATCCAGCCATATCAAAAACTCATCACCTGAATCTGGCGACTTAGTACCCATTTTTCTAGAGCAGGTCACATATTTTGTCACACAGACAAAAGTACTTTATCTGCAGATGATATTAAGAATGGAAACTGATCCCTTTTGGTCAGATCAATTAAAGAGGTGCCCATTTCACACACGTGCACCTCTAAAAAATTCTGTTAAAGCGCACTGTATAGAGTACCGAAGTGAAGATGTCACATGCACAATTGTGTATTGTGTAAAAGGCATCGCGCAAGAACCAATTTTGTTACAAGGACATTGCCTCCAATGAAAGCAGGGCTACTGTTGACCTTCACAGCGGGTGGGGTATAGGTCTTAGAGTCAGTGTTGAAGCAGTCCAGAGGAAGAGCA